GAGAACTTAATAAGACTGCTGTTGGAAAGTAAAGTCATTAATCATGTTCAGTACATTACAGCAACTGTGGATGCATGTCTTGGTGTTGCTGTTATTTACTTTCAATCTGATTCCAGTTATAGCAAACTTATCATAGAATTTTCTTGGTCATCTGTACGGCCCCTGTTTTGCACCCCCTATTCAGGGGTGGCAAGTGGTTTCTAATTTAGCAGGGCAGTGAATCTGCTCTAGGCTTTAGTCCAAACTTTAGTGGAGTTATCCAGAAATTATTGGAGAAAGGGTTTAGCACTTTGGATAGCTCCTTTAGGGCCTTTGCAGACTGCCAGAAATAGTGCAAATTGAGTCCACTTTAAGAGTTAGGGTTAGTGCTAGAGAATCATGGGAACTGTATTTTATTGTGGCACCAGAGCTCTCTAACAGAGAAGGCTCAATGTCTCAGAAAAAAAAAAACAATTCCCATGATCCCTAGCACTAAACCTAATCCTTAAAGTGGACTCAATTTGCACTATTTCTGGCTGTCTGCAAAGGCCCTTAATCCCAGAGCAAATTCACTGCCTCACTATGAGCAGCAGCCCATCAGGGCCAGCCCAAGGCATTTTGCTGCCTTAGGTAAATTGTCATAACTCAGCCCTTGGGACAACTCAGAGGGAGAGAAGGAGGCGGCAGATTGCCAGGAATCTACAGCTCCTGAAAATGGGGCTCTCTTTGAGTCCAGGGAGCTGGGTGCTGAGGCAGTGGGTGATTTTGCTCCCTAGCAGGAGATGGCAGAGCCCAAAGATGACACACTCCCATCCTTTGTTGAGCAAGGAAGAGAGAACCTTTAGTGAATCGTAGACACTGACCTAATTAGATAACTGAGGCCTTGAAAGAGATGCCCAAAAATATTCCAGCATTTTACTCACAGCTTTGGTTCTGACAATCATCTTATCTTGCTGACTAGCAGTACTCTCAAGTGGTTCCTGTTTTCATAGTTGGTCATGTCTTCATGATTCTGTTTAAGCCTTGATGGCTCCTGTATTTGGACTTGCTATAATGGACCTACTATAATGATTTGTGGCTGGCTGATGACCACTTCATGCTTCTCCCTTCATCTTGCCCAGATAACCCGTGGCTGACCTAGACTAACTACCCAACAGCTCTTGAACTCTAGCCACCTGCTTCCTTGGGCACTTGTTGACTGATGCATAGGACATGAATGAAAAGATGGAATCCTCCATTCCACATAAAGGAATTGACTTCCTTAACCAGTTGAATCTTATTTTGATATTGGTTGCAGTCCAGCATCCTCCAAAGGTAGCAGCCTATGTGATCATGATAGCTCTGCCTTCTACACCACTCTTTCTCCCCCAACATCTGACTTGAACTGAAGCCCCATTTCACCTAAAGGTAGGGCTGGCGCTGTATCCGATGAGGAGCACTGGGTTAAGATTCATCTGATTACTATCCATTTTCTCTGTGTGGAAAGTATTGGGGGACATCTTGCCATTTGCCTCAAGCAGGAAAATGCCTTGGCCCTGCCAAGGATGTAGTCCGAAACAGATCACATAACAAGACAACACAGAATCTCACAGTAGGCAGAGTTTGTAGGCTAGATTTATCCCTGTTTTAAGTTCATGAATGGAAGCAGTAATGAATTTAAGAGAGCAATTTATCTAATGACATGTCAGTCCAGATGTCAGCATTCAAACTGAGTTATTTAGCACTGAACTAAACATATGAGTTACCATTTATAGCAGTTTTGGAAAACCTACCTGACAACAGTATAGAATGGCATACAGCAAATCATAGGAGCACATCATATATATTTTAACATGCAATGATTAAGCCACAACAGAAAATTTCTAAGCAAGCACCAAGTGAAAGCTATTCATGCTGAACCTTCCCCTTTCATTTCATTGTTTTTAGTAGAAAGCACCAATCATCAATGGTAAAGTCAGAATGCCCTGAGACTGCTTTGGTTTGAGATTCTTAAGAACCTAATAACTCTACAGGTTCTAAAATTTCCTTGATTCAGAGTACTTTTCCTTCACCATAGCTCTGCTTTACTTTGGCCGACTCTGACCATTCCCTTCAAGGCACAGGACAGCAGCCCTCACTGGTGTTGGTGACTGATCAACCATGGCCCTAGAAACAATTGTGTAAGGAGTGCAGTCATCCCAGGGAATAATACATTTGTGGGATATTATTTTGTAGTTCTAAACAGGTGAGCCAACAAATGTACAGTAGGGAGGTGGGATTTGGGGTCCTTCAGATGTTGTGGGACCACCACTCTCCTAAACATTGATCCTGCTGACTGGGGCTACTGGGAGCCCTGCTGTATCTGGAAAGCTACAGGTTCCAGTAAGCCATGGGTGGGAATCATGCTGCCTGTAGCCATTTGTATAATTTTGGGGAGAGGGGGTTGGATTGCCAGACACTTCCCCAGCCAAAATAAAATAACATAAAATGACAACAGGAGTGTTGCTACTCCAAACAAGGTGTGGCCTCCACACATACACCATTTACAAGTTTTATTCTTTTAAAAAAATCTTCTCTCGTAATTGGAAGTAGATTTCCAGCTCTTAATTTATTTCTCCTTATGTTTAGGGTGGTGGTGGTGGTTCATCCCAGGGACAAAAAATTGACCTCTCAACTCCTGAAAGATTGTCTATTCCTCATGATTACCAATAGAAGTTTCTGAGTCATCTTCAGGCCCAGCACCACACAGAGAACATTGCATTAGTCCAGGAGTAGGGAGCCTTCCTCTGCCTGCCAGATCCTAATAGTTCCAGCCAGTATGGCCAAAGGTCAGGAGCAATGGGAGTTGCAGTTCAATAACACCTGAGAAGCACAGCTTTACCCCACCCCTACATGCCTGCACTTTCTCACCTTAAATATACCAATTGGGAAGTAAGTGCCCTTGGTTAAGCCCTGAGAAATATATGAAAGAATTAAAGAGCTATTTCCTTTTCTCAGCTGAAATGATTCACAAAGCCTTGGTTAGGAACCTGGGCCTCTTTATTATACAGAAAAGAGCCCCCCCAGCTGCTCATATTGAATGAATGTACCCAAACCTAAACTCCTCAAAAACTCATTATGTTAATCTGGGGGAGCCAAACATCCACCTTTTCTGCACATTTTCATTTTCCACTTACAAACAAGCCATCCTCTGTCCTGTGGTTTGGGACTGATAAAATATGCAAGAAATGTCTTGCAGCTATGAGCTGTCTTGGTTTTCTGCAAGAAAATATATGCATGGAGTTGAACAAGAAGTAAAGATAATAAACACAGCAATGGTAATGCACTGAAGTTAGCCAAGGATTTTTCTTTTTCCTCTTCTGCCGGCATCAGATCCAAACAGATCTTGGGGTAATGTTACTTTTTTGGACTATAACTTGCAGAATGTACCAAGACTGCATGGCCAGTTGTCTTGCTAGGTTGGGATAGTTTCAGGGGGCTGTAGCCCACAAAAGGATACATTCCCAAGTTCTGAACCTAAATACTGTAAAGAAGGAACCAAAAAGACAAATAAATGGAGAGAAATAAGATTCCCTTAAAAAACCCTCTAATCCATCTATCAAATGATGTGTCATCTCTTCTGAAAACAGCAATGCATACTATTCATCATTCTGCCTAACCATCCTATCTTTTTTCTGTTTTTACCTCCATAATCATCTGAGTGGTTGTTAATTTATTCTTTGAACAAATTAACATTGTATTCTTTCTCTCACTCACTGCTTTGAAAGGCATGGAGTACTGTGTTTTTTTTTAACAATGCAACAAGGCGAGGAGGTTCTTGAGTCACATATCTAGTAATTTCCAAAAAATCATTGGCAACTGTCAAGAGAACTGACATGATACAAGGGGAGGTAACTTCAGACGCAGCTCCTATAACATCTTATTATCTTGCTATTCCCACCATGCTCTATTTGAAGAAAGTATACTCCTGACTGGTGGTTTAGATTTATTTTTTCATAAAGTCAAAACGTTAGAACAGATCTCAAGGACTCTCTTCAATCCTCTCCCATGAAGGAAGTGACAAATAAATTAAATTAATTCTGTTAATCTATTTATGTATTTATTGATTTTATGCATTTTATATGTCACCCTCTAATTAGTGGTGTAGTGGAGCCACAGAGTCAAAGCTCCAGCCTTTTTTTTTTATTAGCAGAAGCAATGAAGTCATATGCTAGCTCTCTACTAAGGTTTTTCTATCCTCTCTGAGCTTAGCAGCAATCATCAGATATTTGGTTGTGTGTTTCTCCCTGATTTTGAGAAAACCTGGAAACTTACCTATAGTACACACACACACACATACATACATACACACATACACACACGATTGAATCAACATAGGTGAATTCATTTTTGTACACGACTATGAAGCCACCATCACTTGAAAAGATACAGTAAAAGACAGAGCTTTGCCACAGTGAATCCATTTAAAACTAAAGCAGATGGACAAACTCCACAAGAGCTGAAACAGCATAAAACCATCATATAATTTAGAAGGGCCTGGATAAATGATAGGGTCTTTGCTTGGCACAAAACTGATGTTAAAGTAGGTACTAAGCAGACCTCTCTTGAGAAGGTATTCAGCAACCAAAAGGGTGATAACAGAGAATAACCTTTCAAGTTTTTCTTATGTTTATATCCTGCCTTCAGATGTTAGGATATTGACCAGAATATACTGCTATGCAAAAATACCCCATGTTGCTTGATGAATGTCACCCATTTCTTACAAGATTCCAATGCTTTTAACTGTGTGAAAGATATACATTTACCAGGTACACCTTTCCCTAGCATAAGGATAAAGTCCTAGCAAAAAACTTTCCTTGCTGAACCAGAAAACAGGTGTATCATGTGGGATGGTTACATTAAAAATAGAATGTGTCCTATTATCAATTATGAGTATCTTACCCATTAAAAAAAGCATATATATATTTTGCCTTCAAATTCCCTCTATATGGTTTTGGGCATATCTTTGCCATGCTGGGACACCAGGCCAATGTGGGATGAGAGCCAGTGTGGTGTAGTGATTTCAGCATTGGACTACAACTCTGAGGATCAAGGTTCAAGTCCTTGCTTGGCCATGGAAACCCACTGGGTGACCTTGAGTTAATCATACACTCTGATCCACAGAAAACCCCACGACAGGTTCACTTTAGGGTCCTGATAAATTGGAAACAACTTTACACCATACAAAACAAGGCTATTTTATGCCCAGGAGAAAACTTTTTTGACAACAAGGAGTAAGAGTCCAGGTTACTCCCTGTTTTCAAAAAAAGGTGTCTCCTGGTTCTGAATTGGCATAGTGGGGGCAAAAACATGATGAAAATGTTTTATTTCTGAGAGGCCTGGTGGCATATGTAGCCCATGGACTGCACTTTGTCTGCCTCTGGTTTGGGGGATACACAATACTGTTCACGCTGCTAAAATATTAGCTGATATATTCCCCCAAGCAGTGGTGACTGTTGGCCTCTGTGTCTCTGGGGTGGTAGTGAATCCACCAAAGGTGCTGATCTCTAAACTCAAAATATCAGTGTATATCAGGATATATCAGTAATGACACTTCCCTGTGAGCTTCCCTGTCAGTGGGTTGGGGAATCCACTCCAGATTTTAGCCTGCACTTTAAAAGAACTTCTCAAGGTGCTAAGCCTATTTTGAGTTTAGAGATCAGCACCTTGGGTGATTCACCACCACCCCAGAGAGACAGAGGCCAACAGTCATCACTGCTTGGGGGAATCCCCAAACTTGCAGAGGTACAAAACTATGTAGAAGAAAATCCTAATGGATGGGATAATGGGATGGCCAGAGGCTTCCATGCCTGTAGTCCAGTGAATTATTTTAGATTTAAAATGGCTATCTAAACTGCTGGGTTTTATTTTTTAAAAGGGCTCATCAAGCTCCTTTAAAATGGATTTAAGGAGGAATCTGAAGGAGAGGCCCACTCCATATCATTTGGTTACTTCACTTCATCATAACACATTAGTGGCCTTTCCACCTAAATTGCACCCACCCTTTCTCATTCCTCTCTGCTCTTGCATCATGTTTATTTATGAGATCATAAGTCACTGTGAACAGGAAGAAATGTCTTGTTTAATTAGGGTTAGCTCTTCCAGAACATTCAATCAGAAAAGTGTGGGAAGTAAATACAAAAACAAAACAGTGGCATATATTATGTTACATCTACATTTCATTCCCCTTGTGGCAATTAAGCCTCAGACATTGGTTGAGCTAATATGGTGCTATTGGAATTGGCATTAATATGACACCTTTTCTTTCTTTAAGGCTGTATCCACACTGTAGAAATAATTCAGGTTGACACCGCTTTAACTGCCATGGCTCAATGCTATGGAATTCTGGAAATCATAGTTTATTGGGGCACCAGATCTCTCTGACAGAGAAAGCTAAATGTCTCACAAAACTACAGTTACCAGGATTCCTTAGTGTTGAGCCATGGCAGTTGAAGTGGTGTCAATCTAGATTATTTCTTCAGTGTGGTTGCAGCCTTAATGGATTCAAGAGATCTGTTTGGTCAATTTGTGCCTTGAAGTCTGTTACATGGAGGTTACATTCCAACAATGGATTTCATGATCTCAGAATTTCCTGTTGGGTATCTTGCAGGTTTGGCCTTTTGTACTGATGCTATGATTTGTACTTATACAAGGAACAATGGGGGGGGGGG